CGCGCGCGAGAGAGAGAGAGAGAGAGAGAGAGAGAGAGAGAGAGAGAGAGAGAGAGAGAGAGAGAGAGAGAGAGAGAGAGAGAGAGAGAAAGAGACAGCTGTTGCAACGGAGCGTGGAGGGCAGCGGAGCGTGGAGCGCAGCGGAGCGTGGAGCGCAGCGGAGCGGCGGCGCCGACGCGGCGAAGGCGGAGCAGCGAAGTGCGCGGCGATGGCTACGAACCGCCACGCGCGTTCCCGAATGACGCCGTTGAATTTTTAATCCAACGCCGTTAAACGGGATTTAACGCGTTTTAACGTGTTTGCACGGCGTTAAATGGGATTTAACGTGCGGGCCTGCGGTGCGTTTGTGGCGGTTCGGTCGACTGCGCGTGGGTTCGGGCGAGCGGGGGAGTCCGTGGGGGGTGGTAGACGGGGGACCCTTAGGCGGGCGGTGGTCAAGGAGGGTTGGATTGCCAGGAAGGTTGGATTGCAGGGGAAGGGGGACCCTGCGGCGGGCAGCGGTTAACGGGGTGTTGGGTTGCAGCGGTGCGGTCGGGGGGAGTCACCGAGGGTTGTCTCACCAGGGTGACCAACATGGGGAGGGCACAGCGCCGTCAGAATGAGGCTGCCGCGGACCATGTGCAGGACACATTCAGGGCCCACTCCCCTGTCTATCGGTACCTGGTTGTCGGCCAGAAGGTCAACAACAAGGGGGTCATGATGCTCCGTTGCACGTTTTGCAACAAAGTTTTCCAAGGGACCCAGTTTCAGGCCACGAGACACTTCAGGCAGACAAACTACTGCAAGGACGTCAGCGACAAGGCGTTGTACGAGATTGCTCGACGGACTCAACAGAAGTTCGAGGTCGATCAGATGGAGAGGGTTGCGCGGTATGCGGCGGAGCGCGGACTCGATGTGCCCGGCACGGGTGGTGCAAGGGGAGGAGAGGCGGGGCGGCGTCCGGCGGAGGGAGGGGTCGGGGGAGATGGTGGGCATGGTGCGGCAGACCCCACTTTGGGTGGTGGAGGCGGTGAGACGGAGGAGGGCGTGATCCACGTGGATTGCGAGGCGCGTGGCCCGGGCGAGGAGGGAGTCTCGGAATGGGAGGACGTGCATGAGGTTTATCCAGGCACTAACGAGAGGTTGGAGGACTGGCGGAGGCGAGCAGGCAAGGGAGCTGCAGCGGAGGGGTCTTCCAAGAGGAAGGAAGGAGGGAGTGATCCGGCTGCCACCCCAGCAGGGAAGAGGCTTTGCCAGCASAAGGTGACTGATGTCTACGGTGGCGAGTGGGTTGCTCGCCACAAGAAGGCATTCCTTCGTTGGTTGTATTCCAGCGGGGTCTCCTTCAATGCCTTCCGCAACCAGGCGTGGAAGGCATATCAGCAGGTGCTTCTTGAGTAGCCTGGCAGTTCCCCGCGCGCAGTGTTCCCCAACCACTGCGAGATTGCGAGTATGAGGGCGGTGGAGACCCACCGTGCGGAGTTGGCGGAGGAGTTGGAGGAGGTGAGGCAGCCATTCTGGGTGACTGGTGCCACCCTCCTCTCCGATGGGAGGAAATCACGAGACAGGAGACCGATCGTGAATTTCCTTGCTGCTGGCTCTCGAGGGGTCGTCGTGTACACGACGATCAATCGAGAGGGCGAGGCGGACGATGCAGCTCACGTCCTTCGGAGATGGGTTACCATCTTCCACGAGTTCAGCTGTGGCGGGCCGCAGCGGATCAATGCGATATGCACTGACTCCGCTTCTGCCTATGTGGGGGCTGCGAGGGCATTGACCTCGCCATCCATGCCTCCTGCACTGAGGAGGATCACTTGGCTCCCGTGCTCCGTCCATGTCTGCAACAAATTGTTGTCAGACATATGGACGAGTTGCGACGCGTTTGTGGACGCGATCACACGCGCTCGTGTGCTGGTGGTGTTTTTCAAAACCCACCAGGTCGCTCTTCATTTTTTTAGGACGCGCAGCCCCGGCAAGGGGCTTATTCTTTCTTGCGAGACGCGGTTCGCGTTTGTGTACTCCATGCTGGAGAGGCTGTTGGCCCTGCAGGACACTCTGCAAGACATGATGCGAGGGGACGACGCGCGGGCTTTTGCTTCCATCCCGTGGTCTGCCGATGTGTGCGTCATGGTGCGTTGGGTGCGCCGACAGATCAGATGGGATCCATGGTGGCAGAGGGTGCTCACCATCGTCCATATCATGCAGCCTGCCATGGAGTTGCTGAGGCGGATGGATCGTGGAGGACAGTACATGTCCCTCATGATCGAGTGGACGCAGGATCTTGTCCGCCGTGTCACGGTCGCATGCGCCCCTTTGGGGAAGTCGTTCGCCGAGCGGATCATCAGGCGTGTGCAGGCTCGCACACAGCACATGCTTGAGCCGGCTCACTGCGCAGGGTTCTTACTGAACCCCCGCAGGCGACACTTTCGCTACTTTTCGGGGCAGGTGGAGCGGTACGATGCTTGGCTTGTGGGGCAAGCCAAGAGGTACATTCTGACGCAGACGGGATTCGAGTTGGAGGGTGCGGAGTACATCCTTGCATGTCGGCAGTTTGAGGACTTCCACATTCAGCAGGGCAGGTTCGGGGATTGGGGCAGGCCGGAGGGGCGTGCTCGTGGGCGCGCGTGCAGCGGCGACAGCGAGACGATTGAGTGCGCGTCTTGGTGGTCTCAGTTCGGGTCGGGCGTGCCAGAGTTGCAGCGTTGCGCTCTTCGGGTGATGCACATGTGGTCTTGCGCCTCTCCAGCGGAGAGGAACTGGGCAGTCCACGAGGGCATTCACACGAAGAAGCGCAACCAGTTGGCCTTCGAGAAGGTCGTGCAACTCGTTGAGGTCACCGCAAATGTGCGGTTGACTGAGTATCGGCGGGCTGGATGCGGTTATGTGTTGCCATGGCATCGGGACGAGAGCATGATGGATTGTCAGGCAGGACTCGAGTTGGAGCCTGTGCGCTCGGGGACTCGTAGGGGGATGACGGAGGAGGAGATCGCCCGTCAGGTTGCACTTATTACCCGGGATCCCATCGGGGCGTCCGCACCACCTTCGGCTGATGCCGTTTTCGATAGACGTGATTGCATTTTTCGTCCCTACCCCAGGGAGGACGACTCAGACAAGGAGTCAATACCCGAGGCGGCAGATGACCTTGCGCTCCGCATTCCCCAGGAGATCGACGAGACGCACGACGATCCCGACTCCGAGGAGACGAGGGCACACACTTCACGACGGGCGGCGGGTCGGGCGGAGAGGGAGATGCTGGGGGGAGACGAGGGCTTATGGGGCCCATTCGGTGAGGTCGCTTCCACTGGCGGCCCAGAGGCGCAGGCGACGACCCCCACTCCGACGAGGCGGGATTCGTCCATGCCGCCACCTCCTGCTCCGAGTCCTGCACCACCATCGCCCGTCTCGCCACTTCAGCCGGACAGGGAGGAGTTGGGGTCTTCTTTGCCTCAACGCGGCCTTCTCCACAGAGGCGGGGCAGTCCGCCAGCTTAGGTTACGATCACCTTCCCCGGGGATATTGCAGGAGGAGGGGGCACCTTCGGCGACAGCAGTGGAGAGTTCAGCGGGACCAACAGCGGTGTCGGACGCGACGATCGCAGCCGCGGTGGAGGAGATAGCAGCAGCAGCAGCAGCATCAGTGCTGGAGGAGATGGCAGCATCAGTGCTGGAGGAGGATCCACCAGCGGCAGGAGGAGGTGCAGCAGTGGAGGGGCAGGTGGCAGCAGCAGGAGGAGCAGGTGGAGGAGCAGCAGCAGTAGAGGTTGAGGTGGCAGCAGCAGTGGAGGAGGAGGAGGCACCGTTGGCAGCTGCAGTGGAGGAGGAGATAGCCGCACAGGCCGAGGTGCAGCGTGGGGGCGATGACGAGCGCCTCATGCAGCAGTTCCTCACGGAGGAGCTCGATCCGGCCATAGCGGGTATGACCCCGGGTGTGGAGAGGGGGTTTGGGATTTCAGATTCGGAGATGGGGACCCACTTAGACTTAGATTTGTCAGTGGGCCTTCCACCCAGTTGCGTCGGGGCGACATCGACGGACCGGGCTCCATCGAGGGACGAGACAATCAGGCAGGACTTCGGCGCAAACCGCGAGAGAGAGGACGTCGATTGAGTCTCCAAATGCAGCACACGACATTATGGAGCGAGAGAGGGCTAGACTTTTGGCATCGACTGATTCTCGTGCTCAGGCGTTCGCACGGGCCGTAGAGGAGGTCAGGCGTCGAGAGGTAGGGGGGGATTGTGTGCAGTGGGTGGTGGCGGGGGAGGACATCGCGGAGGGAGTGGCAGCAGAGCTGGTACCCGAGGCTATGCCGGGTGGAGCAGAGGCAGCGGACGTTGTTGTGGAGGGACGGCCTCAGGCGGTGGATGAGGCTGTGCATGCAGGACAGCGACGAGTCGAGGGGCAGGAGACAGCGACGGGTCCAGTCGTTCCGTTCTCGGGCCTGCACTTGGCTCAGGCCCGACAGCCGCAGGCGGTTCAGATGGCAGTGCATGGTGTGCCACCGCCCGTTATCACGGATTTGGGGTCCGAGCCGGTGGTTGTGCCCCCACGTCTTCCTAGCCACTTTGCTCCGCAGGAGGTCCRTCGTCCTTTGGATGCAGAGGAGTTGGCGAGAGAGGCTGTGCGCGATGTCACTCGCTTGGACCGGCGGATCTTCGACCGGAGGCTTCAGCACCCACCATGGCAGACGATCCCTTCGGTTCCATGGGGTCCTGCGTCCCCCGTGTGGTCTGGGTCTACCTCCACCGGAGGACATACCGCGGGACATGTTCCAGGGGTTTCGGGTGGCGTGACGGAGACAGCGCCACGCATAGGAGACATTGCCACCCCCTCCTCCCAGAGCACCTGCAGGTGATCCATCATCGTCGCCCACAGGCAGAGGCTCTCGATCCCCACACACGCCTGGGAGATCTAGGATTCGTGACACGACAGCAGTTCAACAGGACGTGTGTGACACGACGATATTCGGGAGGACAGATATAGATTTGGATTCCACCCGCCGTGTCACGGAGCACACTGCACGCCTTCAGCCGGGCTTGGGAGGAGGAGGCGCTAGGACGACCGCGGCGAGGGAGGTACCGGCATCAGGTTGTGAGCCTCGACGAGGTCGTGGCAGAGGAGTGTCGACCGAGACCTTAGAGTACGCTCTGAGAGCAGCGATGCGTGCCGTGCAGGAGCAGACTCCACGCAAGCGTGGAGTGCCTCCTCCTCCACGCCCCGTGCCTGCAGAGGGAGGCGCAGCATTTGGAGAGAGTTCGAGGGCGGAGGGGTTGGGGATGCCTCGTGGTTCCCGCCGTGAGCAGACCATTGCAGAGGCTAGTGCGAGGGTTGTTGTGTTGAGGAAGGGAGGAGGCCCAGTCACCATCGAGGAGGATGATCCTGATACGGATGCGGCTGTGTGGGATGTGGACGAGTACTACGAGGGCGAGGAGGGGGGAGAGGAGGATAGCAGGAGCGGTTCCGATGGTGACGACGACGACGACTACGATGAGCCCCCACCTCCCCCAGGACCCCCACCGACGCGTGCATCTAGACGCTCCGCTGCACGGACTTCTTCATCCTCACGAGGGAGGAAGAAGTCGACATCCGGCACTCGAGGGGGCACGAGGAGACACAACGGGAAGGGGAAGAAGGGTCGTTGACCGATGAGGCCAACACTCTACTTCTCCCCTACTCGCACTGTACGTCGTCACCTTGTGCGATTGTAGTTTTTTTGGTAGTCTGAGTCGTCTCGTCTTGTCTCGGTATTGTCAGACACTCAGTGGTTGTGTGCGTGCTTTACAGACTGAGTTCAGACTGTACAGTATTTTTTTTTCTTGTATCATTTAGGCAGCTACGACACAACTTGTAGACTATTGTTTCTTGTATTTTTTTCGACATGTGGTGCCAGTGCATTAGCAGTAGGATACATTGTATCATGTTGCATTTTGCATGTGTGATATTAGTGTCAGCCTGTCAGGTACTTCGCATCGTTCACGACTTTTCATGTACATTACATTTTTTGTTATAAGTGATGCACGTTGCCTGCCCATTTTTTTGTCGGTGTGTGATTTTATATCTTTAATTGTTGTTCTCATTTTCAATTTCATTTCTTGCATTTTTTTCTTTTAATTTTTTTATGGCTTCGAGAGTTCGGTACTTG